CTAACGTGTGCAAGGAACCCAGTGGGTTCAGATCAAAATTACTCTCCCCCAAGCTAAACCCTGAACCCTATATAACCCCATTATAGTAGTTTCCATTTTCTTTTCCATTATCCCTATATATACCCATTAGGGTAACTTAATTTAAGTTCCCATAAACAGCAACCCAGTGGCTCCATACACTTGACCGTGGCAGTTCTGCGCTTGTCTGATCCAAATACTGCGACGTCACCTGTGGCTCTGCAAGGCTGAACGGTTTAGGGTTGAGGGTTTAGACACGCGCATCACAGAAGCAAGCAGAGGGTTTAGGGTTTAGGGTTTGCGGTTTAGGGTTTAGGGTTTAGGGGGTTAAAGCACCGGCTTGAAGAGAGCCAAAAGCAGAATCTTTTAAAAATATGCGTACGGAATGTACAGAACAAGGATTCATCGAGTGCACCCTGCGGATAAGCAAAGCATGGGCCGCAATGGCATCAATTTCTGCATTCCCTAGTATTAATATTCCTAGTATTCGTACTATAATTAGTATTGCTTTTATATAACTATTATTACTATTAGTGTTCCTACTATTCTTACTAGTATTGTAAGCCAAGATGCCCAGCACCACTCCCCCGCCGAGCTCGGCAACTCGCTTGCTTCCCTTCCTGAGCTTTCTGTGAAACATTTTCCCATGTCTTGAAAATCGACTGGGTTTAGGGTTTAGAGTTGAAGGTTTAGGGTAATTTTCCCAATTTACTGTAGGGACCGCAATATAGACCCCTCAATACGATGATCCTTGTTATACGGACCCCCCAATATGGCACCCCGAATTTTAGGAACTCCCAAAATTGACTTTGCCCCATGCTCGCCTAGCCACATTGGCTCAAGAAGAGGTACCCAAAACAAAAGGCAAACATAATCATACTAATAGGAATAATTGGTATACTCGAAATAATCACGCTAGTCATAAGAGTAATCATAACCAATAATACTAGTAGTAGTGAGAAAAATCGTAATTAGAAGAGCAATCATAACAGAATTCATAGTAATAGTATGTACTACTAGTAGATACGAGCCAAAGTGCAGCACTTCCACCTTGCCCATGTGGACAATGAACATCTCAAAGCCCATCTCCCCCTCCTGCAAAACTTACTGGTTCTTTGCAGGGTTTAGGGTTTAGGGTTGCAGGGAATCAGGTAATATGGAGGTTTCCCAAAATTAGGGGTACCCGTTTGGGGGTCCCTATAATAAGGACTAGACAATATTGGGGTCTATATTGGGGTACCCTAATCTTGGGAAATTACCATATATGATACAAAGGATCTATTCCCCCATTCCCTACTAAGAATCAGTGAAAAAAGGGGTATCGCGGAGTCGAATTTCGTGATGATTCACAGGGCCACTGCTACTAGTATGAGCCCAGGCAGCACGGCGGCGTGACAGGTGGGCCACACGCGCGAGCCGGCCTTCATCACCGCCATGCCGGGGTAGTACAGCCTGCTTATAGTCTCCCTTAAGTAGGTAAAATATGGCTTTGGGTATAGTATAGTAAGATCCCCATATACCATATACACCCTATTATGCTACAGTAGCTTCCATTTTCTTTTCCATTATTCCCTATATAACCCCAATGATATACCCCACATTCTATCCACTTAAGGGGGACTATAGGGCTTAGGGTTGGCCTGGGCTCCAGATACTCACAGATGTGCTTGACAAAGTCCCGCTCCTCGACTGAAAGGTCATCCAAAAATCTCACACCTTTCCCCTGTAGGTCATCTGCAGACATTGACTAATTGCAGGCCAGGCACAAACTTCGCAAAGAATGGTAGGTTGCAGAAAGCGTCCGTGTCGCCTAACGTTGGCCATTTTCGTGGCAAGTTGGGAGTCGCCAGTGCAAAAACTGCACTGGAAACTCTACGGAGAAGCTCTAGACTCTAGAGTCGCTCGAGCCTGTCAAATTCTGCATTAGCTCCAAGTGCTTCAGCAGGGGGTACTCGTCCAGGCCCCCTTTGCGGAAGAGACGCGAGATGACGCGAGTGCATGGAGGGGACACATGGCTTACCGGCTTACCGCTCACCTGTCATGTCGACGAGGGTTTGGAAGGCTGTTCGAGACAGCAAAAGCACCGAGGAGTCTTCTGCACAGCGACAGCTGTGGCTGCGCAACTCCATGACACCTAGCATACCTCAGCAGCTGGCTTTCATGTTGATGCCACACGAAGCTGGACCTGTTCTCGGAATTTGCGACCCGTGGTTGCCATGTAGGTTTCAGGCCCATGTCACCGCAAATGCCGCCAGGTGCAATTTCACCTTCCGTACCACAAGCGATCATGGTCCCAGCACACCTTACGCCCTGACCAACGCGGCAATGCCCTCACGGCGCCTATCACAATTGGCGGTGAAGATGGATTTCGGACAATCGTTTTTTCGAGTCTACCAGAGAGCAGGATGCACATCCAATCTCCTTCAGAGCACAGTTCAGATGGGAACCATCCAAACATCGCGAAGTAAAGAGCCCTGTCCTGCTTGGCCTTGCTTGTAAATGGAAGCCCCCCGCGCATACTCGAAGGGTATTACCGCATCACACAGGGATTGACGGAAGGCATCTGAAGCATGCTCAAACAAGATGATCTTCCTGAGCTGCGAGACAAGACGTACTAACTGGCTTCACCAACAGCTAGACATGTGCACGAACAGCTCAATGCATAATAGTGACTAGAAGGGACAACAATGATTTTATCAGCGTCCTCTTATATTCCTAGTACACCACTATTACAGGGTGGGGGGTCCTCCTACTATGTACCCATATCATGGCAACTTAAGTTAAACTCCTTAACAGCAGCCCAGTCTAGAAGAGCTGCAAACCAGTGCGATCAAGAGGCTTCAGCAGCCGCGTGAAATCTCTCCGCAAGGTCGGGCTCTGCATGGATTCATCCTCCGCGGTTTAGGGTCGAAGGTTGAATGGATTCATCCTTTCCAAGACCCTAGGCGATTCCCAACAACCTGAACCATCATGATGAAAACACCATGCTTATCTTGATAAGAATCAGAATTCCTTGCTTTGCTCAGCTTTCAGATTTGTGAGATGGTCTGGATGTGTGGAAGTGCCGCCCCCGGCGCCTCCTCCACATCTTATACGGGCTGAGGGTTTAGGATTTAGGTATTGTAGTCCCTTTTTGGGACCGCATTCTAATGCGCCCCCCAATACTTAGGCTACCCAAATTCCCATAACTTTGCCAGCTTTATTTCATATGTGCACATAGTCCAGCCAAGCGACCCACTTTTTTAGCAGAGCCTGAGGCACGGCATACAATACAGTCGCAAATGTGCATGTGCCGCCAAAGTGCGGCCCCTCTTGGTTAACCTGTATTCCGAACGATGGTGCAATGTTTTGGGTGTGGTGCATACCCCCAGCGCATGCAAACTTGAACATTGCGTGCAAAGTCTACTCATGGATGACTTCAATGGCCGAGCAGCCCTGTCATGAGCCGGAAGTCCATGCCGACGACGCTCTGGCTCCATCTCTTGCACGTATTATGCACCCTTTGAGGAGCTTGAGCTTGCACGGCCCTCAAGCTCGTGGAGATGGGCATGACGACTCAACATGACAACTACTTTACCCGATGGCTAGCTGACCTTATGCTTTGTAGGGGCCGGATGCCAAGCATCAGGCCTTGCACGCCTTGCCCCAGGCCAAGCTCAGACAGGCACGCGTGCTTGAAACAGCGACTTTTCCATGTCACGGCTCAAGCGGCACTGTTTCGCCAAGCACTTGGCATCATCAATTCCATCTGCTTGCTCGCCCTATGCAAACCACCATCACTGCCTATCACGTAGCACGCCCAGCTCAAAAGTAGGCAACAGCTCTCATTCTTGCCTGCTTTGCTGTGGGCATCTTACGACAAGACTGCCGGGCGTGCGTTTCGCTCATCCGTAGCGATGCGCGGCATGCAGGGCGAACTACAGTGCAGCCGCAGCCACAGGGACATGGCACATCCATCTTTGCAAGGGGATTTTGGCAAGCCCCACTCCAAATTAGGAACCTATTGCATTCACACGATAGCTATACCTTACATGTATGACCCGCGCCATCCATAGTCTCTGAAACACTTTCTGGGGCAAACACTGTTTTTGAAATACCCAGGTGCCGATGTCCGCACTGCTTGTTTGCAGGGGCTGCTGACCTAGTTAAGGTCATTTCAACACTTGCAAGCATGAAACTTGAACACATGAGCTACTCAAATAGATTACAAACCCTAAACCCTAAACCCTAGACCCTAAACCCTAAACCCTAAACCCCAAACCCTCTCATGTTAGGATTAAAGGGCTCTTGCTGCAGCTAAACCTCTGTAGCTGAGTCGGCCTCGGCTTCCATGGCCTGCGCCAGAACTGACTCTCAAATAGGGTTTAGGGTTTAGGGTTTAGGGTTTGGGGTTTAGGGTTTAGGGCTTAGGGTTTAGGGTTTAGGGTTTAGGGTTTAGGGTTTAGGGCTTAGTGCTTAGGGTTTAGGGTAATCAGCACACTAAGGGCCCGGTATGCAATTATCAGTTTAGGGGTATAGTCCCCCTTAAGTAGATAGAATATGGCTTTGGGTATATGATAATAAGATCCCCATAAATCCCATATTCTATCTACGTTAGCGGGACTATATGGTTTAGGGTTTAGGGTGTTGGGATTCTTATACCTTTTAATTGTCATTGAGGTTTGGGACACGCGGTATGTGAGGGTTACATACTCTGGAATCTTAGGGGCAGAGATGGAGGGAGTGGATTGTAGGAGTAAGGGTAGTCGTGGGCATACCCATGTGAATCTCCCAAAATTGGGCATACCTTTTTTTGGGGTCCCCATAATAAGAAGCATAATATTTGGGGGTCCATATTGGGGTCTCCTTGTTTTGGGAAACTACCGTGTGCAGGCTGCTACAGCGCTCCAACAGTAGAACCTGGAATGCGGTTTAGGGTTTAGGGTTTAGGGTTATTCACTCCCACCCTTTCCCCTACCGACTGCACAAGGATGGTCGACACCTCGCGCAAAAGCTTCATAGCCTTACCTTTGGTTAGCTAGGAATGAAGGAATGGATCCTTGTAGTAGTCCCCACATAACCCATTATAATAGTTTCCATTATCTTGTCCATTCCTTCATTCCCCGCTAACCAAAGGCAAGAACAGCTTCATAGCTGCGCCTGCTCTGAAACACCAGTCTCCTCGCTTTGCGAGTCCTTGTTCTCGGTTGCCTCAGAGAAATCTATGTTCAGGGTTTAGGTATACATCCAACAAGTCCTCATCCTACACACATGGACAGCCCAAAATCAATGACAAACAGAAAAAGTTTGCAAGCACCAAAAGCAGGCATGCCTCCGTATTTGCTCCTCACGGCAAAGAAAAATGTTCGGCGTGCCAGTTCCCAGCACAGTCAATAAATCAAATCAAAAGGCGCCATAGCATTCGGAACCTCATGAACCCAAAAACCCGAAGCCAGCAGCCCCGAAACCCTAAACCCTGAACCCCCTGAAATTGGACCTTCAGTTGAGTAGCACTTGTTCCTCGCAGGCTGACTTCCCCACGAAGCCTCCTGAAGAAGTTGCGGGCTTCGCCCGTTGCAACAAGCAGTAAAAAAGGGGTTTAGGGTTTAGGGGTTCAGGGTTTAAGGTTTACAGAACTGCTACTCTTTGTCTGTTCGCTTCCGCCCAGCCTCTTTAAGGTTGCACTGCGGCTAGCACGTGCGCAATCTTATCTGAAATTCTATTGGATAATGATGTGGGAGGTTACTCTTTCATAACAACAATCAGCGACTATCTCTACACCAAAACCCCCAACACCCTTTTGCTTCTTCCAGCCTGCATCCACTCTGCTCAAACCTGTTCGGTCTCCCCCCAAACTGGACACCCAGCACATTCACTCACCGATATTCCTAGCATCCCTATATACACTCACCCAAACCCGAAACAAAATCCTAAACACTAAATCCCTAAAACCCTCAACCCCAACCCTAAATAACCCTAAACTCTAAACCCTAAATCCCGAATCCCCAAACCCTTTGTTGAGCTGTGCCTGGCTTCCACGCCTCAGATTACGCAGACACACATGAGGGAGTTTGGGCTCTTAGGGACCTCAAGGGATATACAGAAATTTCAAGGGGGTTATGGGGGTCCCTATTAAGGATTCTATAGGGACAATTTAGACAAATACCCATGTCTGCTTGATTCTTTTTTGTTCGCCGATTTGCGAGGTCTGGTTCAAAACTGGCAAAGCTGCAGATACTGCTGTTGATCATGGGACGACATGTTCCAGTGCCACTGTTGCATATAATGAAAACAAGAATAAGAACAACAATAATAACAACAAGAAGAGTAGTGATAGCAATAGTATTAGAAATAGTTATAACAAAAAATAGTGTTCCCAATGACCATACCAATAATAGTAATGGTAATTACAGCAGTAGTAATCCATGATTTGCCCCCGCTGCCGGGAAGAGGCCCTCAATCCCGTTCACCCATACCGCCTGCACTGCATGTCAGCATGAGCCACAATGCGCACGACTGCCATGGAAATTTTGCGGCTAGAGCTTCCCTGCTCGCAATGTGCACATTGCCATGATTGAAGCGATCACTAATTTTAGGATTTAAGGGTTTAGGGGTGTCAGGTTTAGGGTCCTTATGAGTAGCATCCAGCGGCTGCCAAGTGAACCTTTGACCTCCTTCTGCCAGGTGGCTATCGTAGGCCGGGCAGCCGTGGCTTTGGCAAATGCTGCAGCAGGCAGGATCACAGCATCCACATTGGCAAGTGGGCCTCCATGCCTGGCAGGGCTATGGCTTCAGCCCCGCAATCTTGAAGATGCAAGTGCACGCATTGATCTCAAGAGGCCGAGTGACCAGCGGGCGAAGGCAGAACAACAAGAGTATGAACGAAATAAATGAAAGGACAAGCCTAAGGCCAAATAACAGAAGAGTCCCAAATGAGCAGAGCGTGAGTACTGTGCACAATCGGGATCCTGCTAGTATGAACATCCAGCCTTCTTTGCACATCAGCTGCTGGCAATGGGCAGGTGCACTGCCATCAGAAGGGCGAGGATCCAAAGCCGCATTTTCCTTTTAAGAGGAAGTTCAGTTGGAGGGGGACAGGGGCATTTGCAGTGTGAATATGGGGTTTCGAGTTTTGGGATAGGACCGGTTTTTGGATGCATGGGTCTGGAGATTCAGGTGGAAGTTCGAGGTGCTGCCTGCTGGGTATACTTGGGGTACCTAACCTACATAAGTCCAGTTAGGGGGCTTACAAGTAGGCTTACAAGTCCAGTCATGAGTAGTTACACTAAGTCCCATGAACCTTCAAGTAGGGTTGAAGAGGTTCAGGGTCATGGGCTGGAGCAGGACAAACATGAGGAGGCAGGAGAATCTCTAAGACACTCCAGACATGAACTCACTTCTCAGGGGTTGTATGGGATTATGCAGGAGGTACTGGGGTAATATAGAGCATGACAACCCCTGCAGCATGCATAAGTCTATGGTGAAAAGGTAGGTGCAGCACAGCAGGGAAGAAAGGCATGTTCATCCTGGGGGGCAGGAACGGCCCTATAAGAAGGCAAAATTGAAGCAGCTCGCCTCCCCGGGGCTAAGGGCTAAGGCACCAACAGCGCAGCTGACAACCAGACAGGAGGGATAGTTATATGGGTTTATATGGGGGGTTCACAAAATGAATCAGGGGTACCATTTCCAATAATAAGGATTACAGTATATTGGGGTCTATATTGGAGTCCCCCGATTTTGTTGGAAACTACCATATAGGGGTTATGTAGGGGTAATGGTAATGTAGGGCATAACAGTCCAAATTGAAAGAGCTCCCCTATAACCTTGATCAAATTCCCTTTCTATCCCCACTGCAAAGCCCAAAACCATAGGCAATTCCCATCTTTGGATCCGTTGTATGGAAA